TACCTTTTTTGTCACCTTTGCAAATTTAATCAGTATAAACAGAACCTCAGAGTTGCTTAAGTTTGCATTTCTCTAATTATTAGTGATTTGAAGTATTTTTTTTTCATATGACTATTGATAGCTCACATTTCTATCCACTGCACACCTATGCCTGGATTGAGGCAGGTAGGTCATAGAATACTGAGACTGGAGTTAGGAAGATCTGAGTTCAAATCTGACCTCAAGCACCTAATAGTTGTGTGACCCTGGACAAGTCATTTAACCTCTCTCAGCCTCAGTTTCCTCACCTGTGAAATGGAGATAAAAACAGCTTCTACCTCTCAGGGTTGTTGTGAGGATAAAATGAAATAATATCTGTAAAGCACTTAGCACAGTGCCTGGTACATAGTAGGAGGTATATAAATGTTTAATGTCTTCCCTTTCCTTCCGCCCCACTCCCTTCTCACCTCTACCTCACAGAATTTTCAGCATCTGTTAAGGTTCAACTTCAATACCACATGCTACAGAAATCCAATCCTGATCCTGTCCACTACTTTCCTCCCCAGGAAATAACTTTACATACATTTTCTATTTAATTGTCCATGTGCATACTACCACCCCTCAGGAAAAAAAAAAGATGAAAGATCCTTAAGGCCAAGAATCAATTTACTTTTGTCCCCCAATACACAACACAGTGCCTGCCATTAGCAGGTGCTTAATAAATACTTACTAAAGTATTGAATTGAATTGGATTTCCAGTGACACATTACTCCCCCTTTACACAATCTATGTTCTTGCTGAACTGCACTATGCCCTAGTTTCATTCTATCCTCTCCTGTCTTATTGCATTTTCATGGTCCATCCTACATGGAGTTAATCCCCGCCCCCCATATCTTTGCCTGCCAATTCCCTCCCTTATTTCAGTGCCTCATATAAATGCCACTGGAAATTCTTTATTCTAGCCCATAACTTGTCCACAGATACTTATTTAGCCCCCAAAGTAGTTGTGGTGCCACTTGCAACAATATTGTTTTCTGCTATAATTGCGTTGCTAATATAGAGTAGTTTGACTATCTTCTGGTTAAATAGACTTTTGAGGATACACATGGATAATTAACATTATTTTTATTGGGAAAAAATATCCTGGTCTGTGTAGAGGAAGAAGGAAATGTAGATGTACAGAACCGCTGGGCTGAGGGCACTGAAAAAAGCTGAAGGTATTGAATGAACCAGGAAAGCTGGTTTTGTAAACCTGGAAATACTTGTATTTATTGTCGTTCAGTCATTTCAGTCTGCCCAATTCTTTGTGATCATATTTGGGGTTTTCTTGGCAAAGATATTGAAGTGGTTTCCCATTTCCTTCTCTAGCTCATGTTATAGATGAGGAAACTGAGGCAAACAGGGGTTAAGTGACTTGCCTTAGGTCACACAGTTACTAAGTGTCTGAGGCCAAATTTGAACTCAGGAAGATACTGAAGTTTGAAAGCATGTTTGCTGGGGAGATACAAAGCACAGAACTGGGAGATCAATCAGATCATTTATTTGCTGCTTAATGAGATCTTTTTAGACTATCTAGCATACTCTCATTCACCCGGGTAGTGATTTATTTTCATTGTTTAAATAATCTATAAAGAAGAGTCTGGAAACACCATCCATTTGAGTCCCTAACAGAGTCCAATGCTCATTAGGACCGTTTACCAAGCTTCCTCAAAACATTACAGAAATACATTTTCTCATGCACTATATTGTTAACAATTGTAATACCAACTATTTGACAATAGCTTTGAAATATAAACCATTTCAGTGAATTCTATTTTTACACAGCCATACAGTTTTAGAGTTGGAAGAGACTCCTGTGGCCTTCTACTCCAACCCACACCTAAACAATATCCCCACTACCATCTACCCAAGTATACCCAGTTATTGAGACTCTGCTTGAAGACCTGCAAAGATGAAAGGCTCTCAACCATCCAAGGGAAGCTATCCCATTTGGGAATAACTCTAGTTGTTAGAATGCCATTCTCAAGATCAAAGCTAAATTTGTCTCTTTGTAACTTCTACCTGTAGCACATGCTGTGGAGATACTCTACCAGTACCCACTGGCATTGGAAGCAGGGTTCCCATACCTTGGCTACTGCTATGTCACCACTTTAGAATGCTAGGAGTAGGGGGCAGCTAAGTGGCACAGTGGATAAAGCACTAGCCTTGGAGTCAGGAGGACCTGAGTTCAATTACCGCCTCAAATACTTGACACTTACTAGCTGTGCGACACTGGGCAAGTCACTTAACTCTGATGGCCTCATCAAACCCCCCCCCCCAAAAAAGAAGAATTCTAGGAGTAGCCTTGAGGGGTCAAGAGGTGACTTTGTAATTTTGTAGCTAATGACACCCACCTGGGTGCTTTCCTTCTTGCCAATTTGTATCAATTAATTAGCCAGTCTTAATTAGCTTAATAGCCATTTACTATGGTGGTATAGTTGGTACAAAATATCCCTGAAAACTACTCAAGATGTTTCCCTTAGATATAGTATAGCTCTCCTGCTAGGTACTCTGTAGTGCCTTGAATCTACCTTTCCTTATCACATCTATGCTGTCCTCTATCATCAGCTTTTCCATGGACATTATTACTAGGCTGCCGGTGGGAAGTCCAAGATTTCTCTGCAAACTTCAAAACTCACAAGTTCGTCCTCAGTGGAGGAGGAGGAGCAAGGCTGAAGACAAGTCTCTTTTCCTCCCCACATGATTCCTTCTCAGGAGTTTAACCACACTTCCTGGCTCATCATTCCTTCATATCCTTGGATTTAGAACTGATCTGCTATTTACACAAAGCCCACAGTGCACACTCAAGTCTCCTCAAGCAATCTGAACAGACTTCCTATCAAACACAGTTGAAGTGCCTAGTTTACCTACTTCATATACCTCTGATTGCTCAAGTTAATTGAAATGAGTTCTCATCTAAGGAAGGTGTCAGGGCACTAGTGTTAGTTACTTTAAGTGGGAAGGAGTGATTTGACTGATTGACTCCAATTAACCCTGTTCTTGAACACCCATTACTCCTGGGGTTCAGTTTCCTTACTTCAAAGGTGTATAATCCTTTTTAATACCCCAAATCATCCTGAGTTTTCTTGTTGACTCTACTCTTTGAGGGTTATTGGAAAGGAATAAATACCTCAGCCTCCCTGGGCTTCAGTTTCCTCATCTGTAAAAAGAAAGGAGTGTGGCTGGATGCCTGTGAAGTCCCTACTAGCGAGAAAGCCGCAGAAGTAATAAGCACCAGAGGGAAGGTTTTAACCCAGGGCATGTGACTACAAAGCCAGCATTCCTTCTCAGATGCCAAGCTGCCTCCTTGACCCAGCAGAATAAATCTAATCCCTTTTCCATACAAAATGCCCTTCAGCTCTCATATCTATTTTTAAGTCTTCTCTAGACTAACCACCCCTAAGTCCTTCAACCAGTCCTCATGTGGCATCAACTCCAGTCCCTTTACCATGCTGGTTGCCTTCTCTGGACATTCGTATCTTAGCAAAAATGAGTCTAATCCTAATTCCTAACCTCTTCATTTGTAGGTTCAAAGAAAATACTTAATTTTTCTCTTTCTTGGGTTATTGCTATAGCTTTAGAGTCTTTATTTCTGTAATAAGTGCCTGAGTAGAACCTTTTGTTTGTGATTACTCAGCTCTATGTGGGGGCTGCTTTTTGTCTCTTTTGGTAACTGTGGGAACCCAGGCTTGGCTGTGCGTAGAGCCTTCCTAAGGAGAACTTTTTGTTTCTTGGCTACTTGCAAACAAAGATTAGTCTGTAGTCTGGGTCCCCTGACAAAAACCATTTGTCTCTTGGTATATGTGGAACTTCAGACCTGTCTGTTTGTTATAGGGACCAGAACACAGCTTACTTCCTTTTCTCAAAGCTTCTCTACTTACTGCTGGTTATTTCAGGATCCTCAATGACATTGTTTTGGACAAGAATGTAGTTTCTCATGACCACAAACTGAAAGGGGGATTTCTTTAGTGAAATGTATGGTAGATACTAATTTGAGTTTCCTAGGAGATAACTAGGTAAAGAGTCTAAGCAGAGCAGAAAGAAACCAAATGGAACACTTGTGACAAGCAGTGTGTGTTTGAATGAAGTTCAAAGAGTATAGTAAACAAGAAAACTTAAGAAGAATTGGGAGAAAGAAAAAAAGTAAATATCTGATAATCAACAAGATATCTAAGATAGTCTTCCCCATCTGAGAAAGCAGTGGCTTTCCTTGCAATGAAAGCAAGGCTTTATGTTTGAAATTATATGTTTAACAGGGAAAAAAGTTGCATTCTTGGGTGGCTATTTTGATTAATATCTGTCATTGGTCACTCCAAAGCCAACCTCTACAGAAAGCCAATTGCTCCCTGCCTTAGCAACCTCAGTTGCTCTACAATTCCACTGAATCTTCACTGAGGGCCTACTATGCATAAGCCCTTTTGTGGCATAGACAGAAACAAGCTTCAGATGGGAGTTAAAGTGACCCCAACTGTCAAAACTAGAGATGTGAGTGGGAATGGGAGGATCAGAGAACCAGCTAAGTCATTGAAAAAAATGAACAAATCTCTGCTCTTAAGGAATTTACAATGAAGTAGGGAACGTCTTATACACAAACAGCAACCACACTATGATGTAGAATGTGATTTAGGTATATAAGATTCAAAGTTCTTTATAAATACCAGATAGTGCTACTAACTGCTGTCAGTATAGAAGGAAGAATGGACTGTTGCTGAGAATAAAAAGGTGGGTGGACACAGTCAGGTCCTTGAACTATACATTGGAAATTCCCATGGGACACTCCTACCCAGCTGCCTTAGATAGCTGAAACAGGAGGTAGTTGTTTACAACAGCATTTCCACTGGAGTATTGGGGGGCAGAGGGGATATAATAAAAAGCAGTTGTTGTATCTTGGAATAAAACTGCCTAGTGTTTTTGAGAAGGAGAGTGGCAAAAATTTTCAAAATGAGAAACAAAAGGCTTGACTTCATTTATTTCTGTTCTAGGTGTTGGAAGTGGAGTCTCCAAGAGAGAGGCCAAGAGAGTGAGTTTTGAGAATCCAAGAGTTGGAACCCAGGTCAGGTTTTGCAGCCAATGTAGCACTGATCCCCCAAGGAACCTAGAATGACCTTCAGAAGTGACCTTTGAGACCCTAGCCAAGCTGAAGGATTTAACTAACAGTGATGTCAATGATATGGAAGTGAACCTGATAAAAGCAATGTTATGTAGGAACTGAGCTACATTATAAAACTAATCTCTCCCCTCAGATCTCTGTTGTATAAGAGTGATTATGCCCTGAGGTACTGCGGAAAATATCTATACATTTGTAATTTCCATATTTGTGAGGTATATATCCCTTTGTTAAAGCTACCCTGTATTATGTGGCTAAATGGAAGTGAAGTGCTAGTTAGTGCCCTAAAAATGGGGAGAGCACAACTGGTGAAGGCCTAAGCTAACAGCACAGAAAAAAGACCACTCAGAGTGCTGGAGAACCCTAAGAGGGAGATGCAGCAGGCCTGGCCCTGAAAAGGTGGACCCAGATCATACATGTTACATTTACACTTACAAAACTGACTTTCATCTTGTGTGACTCTCTCTTTTATCTAGTCATTAACTCTTCCACTATACATAAATCTGAAAGGTAATGTCTTCCTTGTTCTTATATTCTAATTATGATATAGTCTTTTAGATCTAGGTCAAATATCCATTTGAACCTCAGCTTTATATATATAGTGTAAGGTGCTGATCTAGACCTATTTCTGCCAAGTTGCCGTCCTCTGTGGTCATGAGTTTGTGAAACGCCATGCTACTGTATTTGGTTGTTTCTCTATGTTGCATACCTCATCTGTTCCACCCGTCAACCTCTCTATTTTTTAATCAGTACCAAATCATTTTAATTATTATTTACTCTGTAGTACAGTTTAAGATTTGGTGCTAATAATCTAGTCAATATATAATAGAACTGGAGAAAGATAAGTAAGCAAAACAAGTAACCAATTGAGTAGAGGAGCTTTTATAAATGGAGAGGTCTGTTAAAATAAAATTTTAAAAGTCAAGTCAACAAGTATTTATTAAGTACTTACTATGTACCATACACTGGGACCACAAAGAAATGTAAAAGCGTTCCCTGCTCTTAAGGAACTCATAATCTATGAGGGAGATAACACACAATTATGTAAAAATGAGATTTTTGGCTCGTATCTACATTTTCCTAAGATGGGGGGCAGGGGAGAGATTTAAAAAAAGCACTCACTATACCGTATGAATCAGGTATGGGACATGTATTTTAATCCTATACATGAAAGAAATGCTAAACATAAAAAATTCACAGTGCTCATTGACAGAATGACTTATAACTTAAAACAGTTCATAGTTACTGTTAACATTTGCTAAGAGGCTTATGTGTAAATTGCATCAGAATACAAAACAGTTTGTATAACTATGTTATCTTCCACAAAGTTCCTATCTTCTGGAAAGCCAGGCCAGGGTCTTGGTCTCTTCCTCCTGTGAGTGGTTATCTTTTCCAGTGGCAAAACTCCACCTTCCATCCATCTGTTCAAATGACCCAGGACCTCTGAACCTCTTGAACTTACAAGGTTGCCTCCAAACCTGAACAGGTCTACTTCAAAGTTAATTCTCTGTCACCTCATCAGAAAACACAAAGAGGTGAACCCAACCTGGGTTGGATGGGAGGAGGGGCAGGTACAAGCCTGACTAATGGAATCTTCTTACCCTCGCCAGCACATAAAAGTGGTTGCCATAATGCTACGGTGTGGAAGGGTCAGCTCATTCCCTACCTTCACTAGAAGTCTTAGCGTTGCATGTTTCTACCTGGAGGGTCAAAGAAAGAGGAATCAGTTGGAAGGTGTCTCTTCTTTTAATTAAGGCAGTACCATGTCTGCTTTCCATAGTCACAGGGCTAGGTTGGAATAAGGAACTACTTGGAGTTTTATATATCATGACAAAACATCAAGTTCTTTCAGTGCTGGGCCATCACATGAAAGGAGTCAGGTGTGGAGTTTGTCATCCCCAAAGTCCTAAGTGCTAAACATGATTCTGTGGCCCCCAGAAGTTTCCAGGAGAGTTCTGGTCACATGCTTCCTGGGAAGACCCCTATGGGCCAATTCAACCAACACTACCTAAGCAAGGTCATTTTGCCTTTCTGTGATGTTAGGTGTTTAATTCTGGTAGGTTGAAGAGATTTGGCAGGGAAATGGGAGCTAATGAGCTGTAGTTTTGAATAAAAGATAGACTCAAGGGTTCTATAAACTCAAATATGAAAGTGGAACTCTGCATATATTGAGGTTCAAAAAGTATTGAGCTAAATGTGTGGCTTACTAGCTAAATAAAATTTTAAAAAGAGGAAATTTAAGAAGGTTTTGGAGATGTAACCTACCATGATTAATATCATGGAGGACAACTGTGCCCCACCACCATGCACCCATCAGTGTCAATGCTACTGTAAGAGATTGCACCCATCAGTGTCAATGCTACTGTAAGAAATAGAATGTTGACTTAACTAGTTGACTTAACTATAATCTGATCCATTATACCAAGTCATGTGTATTTGAGATTTAATGTTTTGGGGATATGAGAGCTGTAAATATTTACATATTTAACATATATACAGAAAAAGAGAAAAAAAATAGAAACAGAAAAAAAGGACAGAGACTGAAAGAGACAAAGAAAGAAAGCAAGAGATTTTAAGCATAAAATGCTAGGAGCACAAGGACAGAGCAGTACTTGGGAAAAGGTTAAAAAAAAAGCCCAGAAATAGCTAAAATTGATTGGGAAAATAGCAACTGTGCCCTATAGAAATCCAGCATTCTCTTCCCACCAAAGTGCATAAAAGGGGTCCAAAATATATGCCCATATCTGGGAAGTACATTCCTCATTACGAAATTAGTGTGCAGTAGGTACATCAGTTAAAAATATTACTTCAGTCTTCTGCAAACAGCAGGTACGCAGTGAATGATGGATTACTGAATTCCTTTAATGGGTCATGGTATATAAACAAGACAATGAGTTCAATTCTCTCTGAACTGTTTATTCAGCTTCATCATAGGTACAGACAAAATCATATCTGTTTGCTACAGGCCTGCTCCTTTGAAAAAGAAAAAAAAACACTAAATGGCAGGCAACTAAAGTCTCATATCATTTCAGAATAAGTCCAAGGTAATTCTAAATTCTTTCCAAGAAAAACAAAGGCACTTAGACAGGGTCACAGGAGAACTAGACACATAGGAAGTATTAGTAGGAGTAGACACCTAGATTATTCAGGTTTCCTTCACCTTGACCTGTCTTACACTGACTCCCAACCTCCAATGAATGTCCAGATTGGATAATAGATTACGAGCTATAAGAACCCTCAGAAGCCCCTCATTTTAAAGATGAGAAAATTGAGATTCATGAAGGCTAAATGACTTGCCCAACATCATATAAGTAGTATGCAGCTAGGTGGGAGAGTAGATAAAGTAGTGGATTTAGAGAAGTGATGACCTTATGGAAGTCCTACTTCTAATACTTACTATCTGCGTAACCTTGAACAAGTCATCTAACCTCTTAGAGTTCTAGAAATCTAGGAAATTCTCTAAGCTGTACTTTGAGGAGAAGGTGCTAATCTGCATTGACAGAGGTATTTTCTCCAGCTGGGAGTTCCTATGCTTGTGACATAAGGTGTATGTGGTGTTCAGGGAAGACTAGCACTTCTGGTGTGAGGGCTGCTGAGCCCTTTCCAGGGCTGCTCATCCACCTTTGATGTCCACCTGCCACCACTCTACTCTCACCTGTGGTTCCATGTCTCAGCAGACAGGTTAAACCAGACTGAGGGTAACTGATGGGCCTCAACCCCATTGTTGAGTTAGAGGAATGCCCACTCCAAACATGTGAAGACTTTCCCCAGAGGAATGGGCAGATGAGAACAATTTGTTCCAACAGCCATGAAGGTGGCCGAAGCAGGCATTGTAGAGAGCTTAGAGCCTGGTCAGACATCGCAAATGCCAAGGTCATCCACTGCATCCCAGACCATTGCCAGGGATCCTGACTTGCCACTGGACTTGGATGACTCTGGAAGATAAGTTGAGGCTGAGGGCTTTGTGCAACTCTGCCTCACTTAAATCCAATTCACAGGCAAGTCAAGACATCACACTGTGATGTCACTGGTCCTTCTCAAAAATGAAGAATAAAAAACCCCTGGAAATCACAGTCCCAATCCCTATCCCTATCCCTATTAGTATCTATCTCTAATAATGATATAATAATAAAAGAATCTACAAGATCATTTTGAGAATCACTTTGCAAATCCTAAAATGCTACATAAATATTAGCTATTATTAGTAAATATCTGAGGTAGGATTTGAACCCAGGTCATGTCCTTTGACTCCAGAGCCAGTGCATATTCCACTGTATTGTTATGGACTCCCCTTCCTTTCCTTCAAGGCTTAGCTCAAGTGCCACCGCTTCCATGAAGCCTTTCCTGATCTACTACAGCTAGAAACGATTCTTCCCTCCTTCTGTCTCTCATTCCACCTTGTTTGATCCTGTTCTAGGCTCTCAATTATATTCTCACTAGTATTACATTTATGAACTCTTGTCTTCTTAGACTATTAAACTCTTGAGGACAGAGGCAGTGGTGACATTTTCATCTTTGTATCTTATCTATCATCTAGCACTGAGCTTTGTTCATAGTAGGTACATAATAAATACTCGTTGAATTGAAGCAAATCGCAGATTATTCAGGTTAGGCAAGTAAATGCGAAGGTGGTTAATGTCGTGGGATCGGCGTCAGGAAGACCTGAATACTAAACCTGCCTCAGACACTAGTTTTCTGACCTTCAGCAAATCGCTTAACCTCTCTTTTCTTATTTCCTCATCTGTAAAATTGGGGTAAAAATAGGATCTACTTCACAGCATTGTTATAAGGATCAAATGTCAAGTGTTTTACAAGGGATATTTAATGATTTAATTATATCACTTAAAGGGTATATATAAATGTTAATTATTTTTAATTATTACTATTATTTCAGAATAGAGAAGCCTTCTGAAAGCCGCAGATACACAGAAACTCAGGCTTATATTAGAGGACAATCAGTCAGGGTTATGCTGAAGCCAGCTCAGATAGAGAGACGTTGTTAAATGTTCAGTATGAGCACTTACCCCTCGGCAATTGGCAAACTCCACAGATTAGGATTTAAATTATTATTTTGTTGCTTGTCTTGTCTTAAGAAAGAAAGAGAAAATTTTAATAATGCAAATTAAGCT